GAACGATAATTGCGTCTATCAGTAACATCGACTATTGCTTCTCCGTTGCACTTCACAATTAGATGAAAGATTTCTCCTAACTTTATTTCATTTTAATAGAAATATCATTCAAATTAGAGACAAAAAATGATTTCGGACAATTAATTAATGTGAATAAATGAATACATTTCTTTGCATTATTTAAAAGGCTAAGAAGGTTATGACTCATTATTAATTAGCCCACATTTCTATGATGAAATCCTTAAATTGCTAGACTGAAACCTTCAAATTTATTCTAAACACACAAACAGATAATTTGCAACACAGTTTCATTATGAAAATTCAACTTTCGGACATTTAAATTCCTTTAAAATTTGACTTTGCTTTTTGCTAAAATTTTTGAGAGCAAATTTGGCACTTTCTTCAGAACAAGCTAAATTTCATGAGTTAGCATCATAATATTTTTAATGTGCAAATGTCTGACAATCTTCCATGAATGAGTGGCCTTACCTTAGTAAACGATATTTTGACCAAACAGTTTCTCTTTCAACAATTTTTTCTTTGCTATTACATTAGCACTTTTTTGAATCAGGATTGAAATGTTCAATATTCTGTAGATCCATATCCTTTCAAGAATAATTTTCAATGCTCATCGAAATATCCAATTGAAAAAAAAATCAAATTAATTTTTATAATGTTTATCACAGATTACAGAAATATTTGCTTTTATTAAATTTTTTTAGAATCGAATTAAATTCCAAGCTGCAATTCAACTTTACACCAAAATTGAGTTCAGTTTATTATATTGCAGAGAATGAGAAATACCTGTTATTTCCCATCACGAGTTCGACAGATTTTCAGTGATTTCGCAGTAATGATTGCCATTGTTATCATGACATTTGTTGATATGTTTGTTGGTATCAGTACTCCCAAACTTAACGTACCTTCCACTTTTCGAGTAATATTTTAATCTTTAAATAAAAAAATTATGTCAAAACACAAAACAAAAAAAATTATTTTTAAATGCTAAATACGAACAAAATTTTAGTGAGAGAAAATTTTCACAATTTCAATTTTTTTTTTCAGAATTCTGACACATATTTTAAAAATTATAGCTATTAAGAGTAAAATTATTCTTCCACTTCATTTATTCATTAGTGTAATTAGAGTATCAGATTTCTAAATTAACAAATAATAATTGTGATTTTAGCCAACATGGGAAGGGCGTGGTTGGTATGTACCACCGTTTAATGGTAATCCATTTTGGACGGCATTATTCTCTTTCATACCAGCAATACTTGCATGTATTCTCATTTTCATGGATCAGCAAATTACTACAGTTATCGTAAATCGTAAAGAAAATAAGTTAAAAAAGGTATATAATTTCATCATTTCTTCATTTCTTATTTTTTGTTGCCGACTAATCAATTTAATATTGAAATACAGATATATGGAATTTTTAAGTTTTATTATTTAACATGCGCCAGTATATTAAATGGAGTGATTTGACATCTTTGTTTCATCCAGCAATCGTATCTCTTGTGTAATGGGCCTATTATTATAACATGCATTGCAATAAGAAACTTCACATTCCAACATGTAAAAATTCATAAATTTAAAAAAAAAAATAAACGTTACTGAATTTGCAGGGTTATGGTTACCATTTGGATTTATGTGTTTTAGCATTTCTCATTCTTTTGGTTGGTACACTTGGATTGCCCATATATGTGGCGGCTACGGTACTTTCAATAAATCACGTTAATTCATTGAAGCTTGAATCGGAATCTCGAGCTCCGGGTGAAGTTGCTCAGTTTATTGGTGTCCGGTAGGTTATTAAAGTTTTAAAATTTTGAAATTAAAACGGTAGTGTTTTGATGTTCAGTTACTATTATTTCTCCAAAAAAGATAACGTTAGAAGATTCAACAGTTGAATACAAGTGAAATTTTCTAGGCATATGAGTTTTGGGTGATGATTTAGTTGTTATATTACAATTCACCTAACTAGCGTAGGTACACTTTTTCTGTGATGATTTGATGGACCTGATTTGGAAATTTTTTTAAATGGTATTGGAATGGCATTCAAAGACCTGGTATGTTTCTGGGAGAGTTTTTAAGAAATTAAACAAAAGACTTTCGGCAATTGTCAATAGATTTAGGAGTTTCAGACCATTCAGTTAAATGATTAAAACGAATAGTTTAACGGCTGG